TTTACCGTTGCCTCACTTACCTGGGGTCTTCTGCCTCCATGTAAACAGGCCCTAAAAGTAACCCTAGACTTTTTGTTTGGGAAAGGGGGTGGGGAGCAAAGGCAGCAAGAAATTCCCCCTTTATTCAAATACCCATAAGGATTAACCAGACTTTAACCCGGTGGTGTTCAATTCCCGCTAGCATGTTTTCCTTACTATATATGTCTTGTTTTCCGACTTCCCCGCCATTTTGCATAACCTGTTTGTGGCGAAAAACAATGTTGTTGAGTTACCTAATGTTTGTCTAGCCCCAGAAAATCAGATCCTGCGTTAACATTAAGGAAGATGTGTGCAATCATTTAGCCCTTATAAACCTTTTCAATTTGTTTTAATCTACTTTTATTTCATCACACAGCTGAACCCAAGATAATGCTGAGCCCGCCCAACTCCATTTCCGTGACAACTGGGGGGTTGGTCACTCTAGAATGCGCAGTCGTGGGGAATCCCCCTCCGGAGGTTCAATGGAAAACTTAGGGAAATTCCCAATCCAATTTTCAACTGATGGTGAACGGTCCCGGAATGTTGAAACTTGTTATTAGAAATGTGACTGCGGAACATCAGGGAAATTACACTTGTCATGCTCAAAACATTTTGGGGAAAACTCTGGAAACGATTCAGTTGATAGGTGAGTATGTCGGGTGTCAGTATGAGTATGTTTCCAATTCTTCCACTCTGTTGACAAATTAAGTAAAGATAACTTGGTGCCACACAACGTTATTTAATTTGTTATTGCTGTTGTTTTTTGGGGGTATGTGTGCGGTCGTTTTATAATCATTATTTTTGACGCCTGTATTCTAATACGGCTAAACGGGTGTGTTATACGTCTTTATAATGCAGTGCGCTTCGATTTTCATTCTCTCTTTTCCTCAGGAAGTAAAGTGGCGTTATTCCGGTAACATTTGCTTTTGGTCTTTTGCTTTAAATTTTCTCAATGCACGGTAAACTTCCCACTATCCCACCCGTGGTTTAAAATTAAACTGGTTTGCTTTCTTTTTCGAAGTGTGTGGGAATGACTTTGAAAAATTTTAAACAGAAAGCAAGGATAGGTTGAACCACATGCATCAGTGCAACTGATATTTGCGTTGTATATGTATCCAAAGTTGTTTCGGCAGATCTCATGACGCTTGTGTAGACTATTTCATGCAAAGCAATTCCTATAGATCAAGTAATGCGTGATGCAGTGATTCAAAAACTCTCCTTGTAATTTTCCATAAGCAATGGTTGACCTTTGCTTTTTCTTTGCTCCTTAGTAAAGGTTCCACCAGAAATAGAAATTACACCAACCACGAACCTCACAATTGCCATAGGAGAATCAGTTATTTTAAGATGCGTGGTGAGAGCTGGTAATCCATCACCGTCATTGGTCTGGGAACGAGAAGGGAATAAACCACTGAACAGCAGTAAAGACGACGCCTTAGTGATCTCTGCTTCCACTGGCGACAGTCAGGGAAAATACATTTGTAGAGCTACGAATAATCTAGGGACATCTGAAGCCATTGCCTTTCTTACTGTTCAAGGTATCATATAGATTGTGTTATTTATATCCATTCTCCACTTAAGGAGTGGCGAATGAAAGAGCTACGGCTGAGGTGATAAAGATGCTACATCCATTCTCGCTAATGAATTTAATAAGGTACCATCAATTCAATTAGAAAAATAAGCTCATTTCTTAACATTTAAGCTCCATTAGGACCTGTAGAATGTTTCCACCCAAGCGCAAGCTATGGCAGAAATAAATATATACACTCTTTTAAAGTATAAGCCTTCAGCCGTTGTATTTGGTTTGTAAATTATCACGGGCGTAACAGAGCTTGAATTTTTGGCCATGAAGAATGGCGAAAAAGAAATAAATTCATAGAAACCAAAGAGAAGGTATTATGCCAAATATAAAATTGGGATACATATACTGCTTTTTGTCTATGGTTTAGGCTGTCCGTTTGTGCCACGTGGCCAAGATCAGGAGAGATGAGCAAAGTTTGGCGATATACGTGATAATCTATTCTAGCTGTGTTGCACCACGTCCCCTCTTATTTTTTCAGCTAGGTTCTGTGTGATGTGTGGAAAAAACATTTGATTCCTGAACTGGTTTATAATTTCACACTGTATCTGTCCCCTTGTGCTTTCCTTTCACAGCTGAACCCAAGATAATGGTCATCCCTTCTAATTCGATCTCCGTGACAGCTGGTTCTTCGGTCACACTAGAATGCGCAGCCGTGGGGGATCCCCCTCCGGTGGTTCAGTGGATACCCCAGGGACATTCCAATCTACGACTGATGGAAAGCGAACCTGGGGTGCTGAAACTAATTGTAAAAAACATCACTTCATCGAACCAGGGTAATTACACTTGTCAGGCCCAGAACATCGTAGGAATAACCAAGGAAACAATTCATGTAACAGGTGCGTAAGTTGATTTTGCCCAGGTTATCAAAAGAGCTCTTGAAAATGCTTTTTAGAACTTTCGGCTTCTGATCACTAGCCGGTTAACAGTGCATGAAGAGACTGTGACCGCCGGCAACCGAATTAAGTTAAGAATCGCCTTCTCATGGCTAAGGCGTGTCCGGGACTGAAAGACGATTGTTTTCGGTTTTAATATTTCTTCACTCAGAGCCTTAAATTGCCACTGCTTACAAGACACATCATGATAAATCAGCTTCCTGTTAGGAAATAAAACGATTTCACTAAATCCTCAAAAGCCTTAGCAAACGCAAGCAATTTACGTCGGTTTACGTCGTTTGCACTTAACTTAGTTGTCCTTTTTGTTGTTGTGATTTGCCAGGACGAAGAAACAATATAGGACACTGCGTTAAAATAACTTCACACGCCATGGTAATTATTTTGCTTCCACTTTTACCCAAATGTCAACTGCTTGTCACCTTGAGTTTGGAGATTCCGAAGAAAGAAAATGGCGTTGTGTTTTTCGCTTTACATGGCATTGCATTTTATTCTCAGTATCTTCTGATACCAAAACATGAAGTCCTTTGATGAGTGAATTCTCATCAGTTTGTTGACCTAAGTATCATCGAATGCATCATCGAATTTTCTCCGTGTTGCATTTCCCATCACTCTCAAACCAAAGATACTCCAACCTCAAACCCTGTCTAAAATCTGCAATTGCCACTAGTTAAGTAATTAAAAGTGTTACGAGTAATAATAGTAACAATAATAATTATATAACAACAAAATCTTGAATCTTCAGTAAAGGATATGCCAAGAATAGAAATCAGGCCAGCACCAAACCTGACAGTGAGCGGCGGAGATACTGTGAATCTAATGTGTGCGGTAATTACGGGTAATCCAACCCTGACTGTGGTATGGGAACGAGAAGGAAATAAACCGCTGAACAGCAGTAGTGATGGCGTGTTAGTGATAGCTGCTGCCAGTGGTGTCAGTCAAGGAAAGTACATCTGTAGAGCGACGAATATTCTGGGGTCCACTGAGGCAGTCGCCTTTCTTATTGTTCAAGGTACAATTATCTGGCAACACGTTAAAGAATGTACGTCACGAAATAGGAAATTTTTAAGATATAACGTCAATGCTTTCCGAAAGCACATCATTTTGTCATTAGAGTTTAGACCTCTCAAATGAAAAATTAATAAAGTTATGCATTTGTTTATTTATTCATTTATAGACCATACAATACCCTATTTGTCTGTAAGATAGACCGTTTACCGTAACTAGCGACCAGCTCGGCAAGATTCACTAAAGGGTCTCGCGCCTTCTTCCGTAACGTTTACCCCCAATGACACCCTGTCATGGTAAGCCGGTTCTACCAAGACAATATTACTGTAAAACGGGGGACTGCAAACAACCTTATCAATTCTATTAATCACTTAATCTAATTAAAGGCGCCCTTGGTAGCAACTTTCAGTCTCAGTTATGATGAATTGTTGTGGCTAAGCGTTCAAAGGCTAGTGTCTCTTGTACAGAAGTAAAAACAAAATGTAGAAAAGCAGTGCATAACGCTACTTCTGGCTTATGCTTTCATGGGCCATAGCCCAAGTTTCTGCGCCAATACAATAAAGAACATTTCTTTAATACACAGGTGAGCCAAAGATAATAGTGAGCCCTTCCAGTCCCGTATCAGTTAAAGCTGGCAGCTTTGTCTCTCTAGAATGTGTAGCAGAGGGAAAACCCACCCCAGATGTTCAATGGAAACTCAGCTTAAATCTCACTCCAGCCTTCAGCTGGGGGAACGTGGCCGTGGTGTCTCAAAACTGGTAATTGAGACCGTGGGTCTAGAAGATGAGGGCAATTACACCTGTCAGGCTCAAAACATCGTAGGGAAGACCCAGGAAACTGTTCAGTTGATAGGTAAGTTCGTAGTGAGACTAGTTGTAATACAGGTTATTGTTGAAGTGTGTAAGTTTCTTTGCTAACTTAGAGCTGGATATAACAAAAGGGCATCGGACAATAGATGGAATTGCCCACTAGAGGACAAGAAAATTAATGTGGCTTGGTAATTAATACAGGCTCTATGATATCTTCATGCTGATATTTTTGTGGAAACGTTGTGTGGAAAACTTTGTCATAGCTCAATGTGCCTGTTTTAATGACGAAGTTACCTTAACTCAGCATGTCATTTGCCTGAGAACGTTTCTGTTTTTTCTGACTAGAATGATGTTCTGGTGGGTAATACCGGTATGTCCTTTTTCCACCGTTCAGAATGAAATACCTAAAAAAGACCTAATATTTGCAGCTGTGCTATTCTTAATTATCAGCCCAGCAGCCTGACCGCCTCTACCCCCCACTGAATCTTTACAGGCTCATTTTTAGCCCCGCTCGGATGAGAAGCCATGAAGTGTACGAGGGTACGATAAGCCCTGATATCATGCATATGGTTACCAGCCTCAGGGCTGAAAAATCACCCACCTTAAAGTAATCTTAGCTATCCTAACAGTTAACCCTGAAATCACTCCTTTTACTTTCATCTGTTAGTAAAGGTGATGCCAAAAATAGAAACCATGCCAGCGAGAAAGCTGACAGTCACAGGTGGAGAGAGTGTAACATTCAGATGCGTAGTGAAGGCGGGCAACCCGCCTCCATCGGTGGTCTGGGAAAGGGAGCAAAATAAACCGCTGAACAGCAGTGACAACGGCGTCTTAGTGATCTCTCGCGCGTCCGGTGACAGTGGAGGCAGATATATTTGTAAGGCGACAAATATCCTAGGGTCAACTGAAGCAGCGGCTTTGCTTATTGTTCAAGGTAAATTTTAATCTAACACAAGCCAAGGGCAACTACTCTACAAATACCTATCTTGTTTCTGACAACCCTTTTCAAGAACCACCACCCAAAACATCCAAAACTCTTCTTGTGTGTTTGTTTCTTTAAGTCACTTTTTCTTGTCCGTCTTTTATTACTATGAATTCCTGAAGACAAACTTCACAAGGAAAGTAATGGCCAGTTGTCGTTTTTAGCCAGATCCTTATCTTTACTTCACTTACAACAGCACGAGTAAGCAATGACTACATTACCCAAGGAGAAATTGAAACAATACTTATAATTAAGAGTTTTAAGGGGACAAACAACGAATATCTTGACCAGTGCTGAAATGGCGAGACTTTTCAACAAGAAAGTATCTCGTTTCTTCCTTTTTGAAACCTGTATTCATGTGCCAGTGATAAAGCTTATTTTATGGCATCTTGAAGGTAGTGACTGCACAATTACGGTATGGTTTGCTTAATTGTTACACAGGTGAACCCCAGTTGATAGTAAACCCTTCCAGTCCAGTCTCCGTGACAGGTGGAAGCTCGGTCACGCTGGAATGTACAGCTGCAGGGAGCCCTCCTCCAGTAGTCCAATGGATTATTGAAGGGCATCCTCGGTCTAATCTGCAAATAAGGGAAACCAATCGTGGGGTGTTGAAGTTGATTATTGAAAATGTCAGACCGGAAGACCAGGGGAACTTTACCTGCCAGGCAGAGAATATTGTAGGATTGACTCAGGAAAGTGTGCAGTTAACAGGTATATTCCTTATGCAGTGTAATGGCAGCAAGGTACTGAGAAATTAAGGACTCGCTAAATGTCCTTCTCAGACATCCGAAATGTAAAAGATCGTAAACAAATCATTTCCTCTTTTGCTTTCCACCATATCATGAACTGGAACTGGTTATCATAGAATAACAAGGTTTTATTTGTTTTTCTTAGGTTTTCTTGCGAAATTGCAACCACTGTTTCCTCATTTTTTTAAATCTTATCATCCAATGTTGACATTAAAGATTCCTTATTGTCGAGGAGTGTCTGTGTCTAGCCTGACAAAACAGCTAACATTTCGAGACGCCATCAACGGAGAATACGTCTAAGGAACGAGCGCAGAAGTTTCATACTAATGATGTGTCACTACCCAGATCTGGAGAGTGCCAACCCAAATCACTACCCAGGTCAGAGTAGTAAAACGTCATTAGTATAAAATTTCTTCACTCGTTCATCAGACGTCATTTCCAAGAAAACCCTTGGTGGCGTGGCGAGATGTCGGCAGTTTTTTCATGCTAGGCTGTGTCAGGATGTCTGTCATTTTACATTAATTTAGAGGAACTTTTGATATTGTCCTTGCTTTAATTAAAGGAAGCTTTAATTTTAGGCCAAACTTGTTCTCAAAGAGGATTGTATGACATGATATTTTAAGCATGTGGCGTATGTGTGGAAACTTTTTTTAACACTTATTCAGCTTAGAACAAAACTAATGGGTGATACAAAAGTTGAAGTAAATTTATGTTTTGTTTTTCTCCACTGACGAAATATGACCTGAGGTTATTGTGATTCCTTCTAGTAACTGTTCCACTAGAACCACCAGAGATCCTCTTAAATTCTGTTTTACGAACTGTCATCGAAGGAGAAGACGTGGAGTTTCGGTGCAATGCATCCGGCTTACCAGCTCCGACCATTGTCTGGGAAAGACTGGGTTCTAATTTACCCAATGACGCCCTTGATAGAGATGGAATACTGATGATCCCGTCTGTCGGTGCAGAAGATGCTGGGACGTACTCCTGTAAAGCAGTTAATAGTGAAGGGCAGGACAGTTTTAGTGTCAAGTTGGAAGTGATAGGTACGATTAAGGAAAAAAATTGAACCTAAGAAAAGAGAGGATAAAGTTTCACGAATCCAGGCTAATCAAAATTTATTACTGTAGCTCAACAGTAAGATACCTCTCCCACAAATTTCAACGTAAAACAAATTTTAACGTCAATTACCATTGATCGTGTATCATTTCCTAGAGGCATATAATTGAGTTACACATTTTATCCTGGCGAAGTTCAGCGATGCCGCCAACTGGAGGTGTAAAGGCCATTTCTTTATGTACCACTTTGACCAACAAGGCATCCTGTTTCTGAGCCTTCCATAAAAATGGTTCCTTCTTCATATGCTTTAATGTGAAGAAGCGCTTTGATTAATAACTAAGGGACTTTCCCTCACTTTTACTTGGTAACCTTTCAAACTATACGATATTTCAAAAAAGCCCTTTTTAAATAAGAAATGGCACATGTCTTACCCCTTTCTGCACTACAAACTGCCAAATACAGTCAAATTTCCCTTACGCAGACACCATCAGCAAGCAAAAACGTAATTTCATTGGGAGCTGGCCGGTAACAAATCATGCTTTTGTAGTGAAGTTCCTAATGGGAAGATTTGTTAAGGTGGCCGTAAGTGAAGCTGTCCACTTGAGGCATATTGTACGTCCATGAAAAGATAAGAGCTTAGACTGTTACTACCCCGTTATACACCTCTCCCATTATATCCTTTCAACGTAATTATTACTATCAACGATTCCAAGTAATGCTGTTTTTTGAACTCGTGGTTCTTTAACATTTACCAAACGTTTGGAAAAAAATGAAAAAATGGAACACCATCTTTAGGAACGTTTAGGAGAAACGACAAATTTAAAAAGGTAGCCGTGTGGTTGAATATTCCAGACTGAAATTTGTTTGCTTTCTTCCCCAAACTTGATTAATCTTTGAGACAAGTTTCAAGCTTTCGAGGCCTGTTTTGGGAATGGAACGAATTTGTGAAATAGATTCCTGCTGTGAACATTAACTTTAAGGCAACAACTTAAGAATCAAGGAGACAAAATATAGTGATTTGTATTAAGTTGTCATTCCAAACCTCGAATTCCTTTTATTGTGTCTTCTCACCGGGACAGAATTCTGGATTTTGTTTACCATGAAACTCGCAAATAGTGAACCGACCTATGTCTACATTTATTGAAGTGATAAACAACCCGACCCGTGTCTTTTTTCTTTCTTTTTTTAACCAGTGCCTCCTCTAATCGACGTGACTCCCCCCAAGATCTCTGTCAATCAAGGAACCTCCTTTAACATCTTTTGCATTGTTAAGCTATCACTTGCAATCACGTGGTCAAAACTCAATGGTAGTTTCCCAAACGGCATCGTGAGCGACAAGGGGACCTTAACAGTCAGTGAGGCGAAACTGAAACATGCAGGAACATACCGCTGTTATGCTAACAATTCAGCGGGCTCCAGTGAAGGCTTTGCAAGCGTCGTCGTGTATGGTAATTTAAAAAAAATATCGCAGTATATAAAAAAGTGTATACCTCAAGAGTTAAGGTAATAAAAGTTTTAATTGTAAAAACAAAACCAAAAAAAGGCCTTTCATCCCTTCTTCTTCTCTCTCAATGACTCCCATTTATCGAATTTTTTCCCTTTTATTTAGAAAGAAACAGTCTATGTTGTACCACAAATTCTATATTGTACTACAAATGATGTTTTTTGTGATGGCAGTGAATGTGTCTTTGAAATATACGTTCGAGTCTTGTTGCTCTTTGCAAATCGATTATCTTGATTATTTATCAACTTATATTTGGGAAATCAGTGCTAACCAACACACTAGTCAATTTTCAATTTCATCCCATGTTCAATTTGTCCTGGCTTTTTGACTGACTTTCGTTCTGATATCTCAGCTGCACCAAAAGTGGTGGCCTGGCCTAGATCTTTTGAAGCAGCGCATAAATCCAATGTTACATTTCACTGCAACGCGACTGGCATACCCGACCCGGTGATCTCCTGGTCAAAAGAGGGAAGCGAAATTCCCGTACGACACTCAGCTGGTGTCTTGAGTCTTACAGGAGTTATCAGTGACGATAATGGTCGATACATCTGCACAGCAAAAAATGCTGCTGGAACTTCTACAACATCTATAGAACTCACTGTCGAAGGTTTGTTAGAGCTTCGCTTTGAAGAAAAAGAAGTCACTTTCTGTTCATCTCGATCCCCTTTTTATGCTTATTTCCCCTTATCATGCCTAAGTTCATTGGTCCGGTTGACGACCCCATATTCTCAAAGTACAGTGCAAAATTATATCATAACCAAAAATTAATGTCCATAAATCTTTTTCAAATGTCGAGCCAATTCATTGCACTGTAATTATATTATGCTATACCCTTGAGTTTATCCAATTGTTATTGTTATCATCATTATTATTATTATTATTATTATTATTATTGTTGTTGTTGCTGCTGTAATTATTGCTATTGTTATCTTTATCGTTTTTGTCATTGTATCAGTATCATAATCATTATCATTATCACTATCATTAAATCATTCGTATGAGTAGCCATGTAATCATATCCTTTTCAGATCTACCCAGTGTGGTTATAACAGGTGGAACCTCCGTCAAAACAGTTTCAGTAGGAAAGAATTTGACTCTAGAATGCATCGCGAATGGAACCCCACAACCAGAAATACAATGGACCCGCGTCGATGGTCTGCTTCCAGAGGGACTCATTTCAAAAGGAGGACAGCTGATTTTTCTCCGCGCGCGGCTTGCCTATGGTGGTGTATATAGGTGCAAAGTCACTAACATTGTGGGCTCTGTGCAATCTGAAGTAGCCATCTTTGTGCAAGGTTGGTGTTTGCTGTTTGTTCTTTTCTGCTGTTACCTTTCACGTTTACTGGTCTGCAAAAGAAATTAAAGCTAATGCAAGTAAAGCTAAAAAACGCTTGAAATATTTGACCGTCAATTGCAAAGACATTCACATTTGTGGGGAATAGGAATGGTTCACTGGTTTGTCAACCGAGTTGATAAGCCAAGATAATAAGACAAGATAAAATAGCGAAAGCTGGCGATTGCGTGTCCTCGTGTCAGACCAAGTGAGGAAGGCGTGAAAACATAAGCCTGCTTTAAATCTTACTGCGGTAAACCAAAATGACCTTATCCGATTAGATTTTTTGGTACTACCACCCAACCACCCCAACCCTACGGTTACAACTAATATCCATCTGCAAAGATCATGCAGTTTTATTGACGATGTTACTATTAAACATTGTGTTATTAACTCGAATGGCAAGGCTGTACTCTATTTACTCTTAGAGGCCCCCAAGGTCATGTTTACTCCACAGAGGTCACGTGTGAAAACTGGTGAGACCGTGCAATTCACTTGCATCGCTAGCGGCTCCCCGTCACCAGACCTAACATGGCGGAAAGTTAACGGATCGCTTCCAGTCAGCAGTACAGTGCAAAGAGGAGTTCTGAAGATTGCCAATGGGACTCAAAAGGATGCTGGGAGTTACAATTGTGAAGCCAAAAATGTTGAAGGATCGGCTAATAGAAGTGGAATTTTAGAAATTAAAGGTAAGGTATCAAAGGGTCGGCTCTTTGGAAGTAATTTTACTTTAACCTCCCTCCTTGTTTCATGTCTTTATTTTCACGAGTTTTGGTGCAAAAATTTTACAGTGCCTTTCCTCCTATACATTTTTCCTGAAGCAATTCCAACGCGAAAAGCTACGAATGTTCTTGCGGTCATGATGAGGGTTAGATTGGGGAGTTTCTGCTAAGCACACTTCGCGTCAATGACAAGAAGACACGTTTGTTATGATATTTACTCTAACCATAACTTAGTAATGGTCACCAACCATTTGTATCTGTCCGTTTTCTATATCTCTTCTTAGTGACCGTTCCACGATTTACGCAGGAACCTCTGTCCTACCTCAGTGTACAGACATTAACAGACGAGCCACTTAATTTCACGGTTGAAATTGTGTTCATACCGGAGATGGCGGATGGGCTGATTCTGTACAACGATCAGCTAACAAATGGCTCTGTTGGAGACTTCATTTCATTTGGAATGTCAGACAGATTTGCTGAATTTAGGTAATGGGGTTGTATTCACAAACAGGGACGAAGAGCATCCTTCTTGATCCCCGCCAGTAGTCCTGTGAGGCTTAGCTCTAGCAGGAGTCTGCCCTCGCAAGCTATTTTTTCCATAAAGCCTTTGGTTACTCACAATTATTTTTTCGAGGTCGTTTGAAAACTAATGCAAAAATAGGATCGGAACTTATTTTGTTTCTGTAAACCCTGAAACAGCAAGGTAACTAAACTATCGTTATACTAACCAAGTCTACCATATTCCACCTTGGCTGCAGTCATATTGCATACATTTAGCCAAGCCTTAAAACGGAGCTTCCATTTAATACAACACTTTAAGTTCTGGTTTGGGGGGTGCATCATGCACTCTGACTGTTCCAGTGACTTACTCCAAGAACTGCATCACGTCATATGTATCAACATACTTAGCACGAACACACCATTATAAGATGCTGGAGTTTACATGTAGATTGTGTGTTGGTTGGACTTATAATCCTATGGTCAATTTTTACAAATGTATTATAAACGTGCAGCCATTTTCCGTGAGCACAGATTGAAGAAAAAAGACTCCGCTTCAGCGCAAGCTTCCCACATATACTCTGGGCTCCATTGTCCCAGTCTAACAAAGTATACTTGAATATCTCCTCCCTGGTGAAGCTGAGCCGGCACATTAGAGATTTACGATGTTTTTTTTTTTTTCGAAATGGGCTATATCCACGTTGTAGTGGCTGTGCATGTCGGTTTAGGCTTAAAACATTCTTGATCTTAACCTAACTGTGATGCACATGTTATAATCCAGTTTTATCCTTGGTTGATATTTTTTTCTTTTTTGGGGGGTATGGTAACATAAGAAAAGAGTCTGAAACAAACTAAATTAAATTTAAACCAAGGTCAAAATTGAAGAGAACTTATCCGTATTTAGATTCAACCTTGGCTTTGAGCCTGCAATCATTCGAAGCCGGCAACCATTGAGCCTGTATGAGTGGCACAGAGTCGTCTTATCACGTAACAGGAAGGAAGGAAATCTCACCGTAGATGGGGAGCCACCTGTAACAGGAATTTCTAAGGGGAGTAGTACAGGTCTCAATTTGAATCAGGATTTGCACGTGGGAGGAGTCCTTGATTTCTCATCAATAAGCTCTTTGGCGGGATTCAAGTCAGGATTTATTGGCTGTTTAAGCTACTTGGCTATCGACGGAAAAGTTGTAAATTTTGGTAAGAATATAATTGTTTCTTTTACATTCCATTGCAAAAATGGTTGGTATCAAAAATAGGGACCTTAAAAACAGGAAAACACGTACATGTATTGTCTCCTTTGATTATTTTGAGAAATTTTCGTTAGGACAAAACCAATGGTAGTTGGATAAAGGTTTTCAAAGTTCAAAATTTCTGGAAACTAGTTTTCGAGGAGATTTGACTGATTTGAATTTTGTACAGGAGTCGAAGAAACGAACAGAGTGTCCGAGGGGGGGAGTAAGGGTTCTTTCTTGACAAACAATTCATACAAATTCTTCAATTCGGTTTTACCAGCTGAGTTGATGAACACATCTTGAAAGTCTGCTTTTGGTTTCTGTTCTGGAGGTAAATTGTCTTTAGCAACTGATTGGACCAAAACCACCATTTCTTTCTGTAACGGACGCAACACTAAAGTTCTGGAAACTAACCCTTTTATTTGAACTCTTTGAACTGTCTATACGCTATTTTTTTATGCATAACCTTTACAAACGCGTCCCAAAAGTGGAAATGATTCACCATGGTCTAATTGACATTAGTAGATTGAGTCATGTCTATAGAACATGAGCATGTTTCTTTCTGTTTCTTCGACTTTAAAGGAACCAGCTCTTATTGAAAGTGTATGCGCTTGTCAAGGGCAGTATTGACGAACTCGAATGAGAATAGGCCTGTTTCACGAGAAAGCTATTTTTGTAGCCTTTCGGTGTAGCTTAATTACCTAATTTTATAATTAGATTTTATCCTCTTCCTTCTCTTGCCAAAACACAATACTTAAATGGATTTTGTCACGAGGATATTATTGTTTTATGTCAACGCTGTGTTGAAGTCATTACTTGGGGTCTTTACCCATACACAAAATGCTTCTGTAAAATAATGAAGAAGATTTCAAAGAAATTCCACCAGGGAACACTAACCATGATAATTTGTTACATGATTTGTGAAAAAAAAAATGGAAAACTATCTTTGGAATTCAATTGATACACAGACACTTTATAGGTTTTTAAAAAATAGAAAATAGCGTGACATAACCCTTTGAATACCTCTTTAAACAAATTTCAGGTGATCCTATTAAAAGCGTGGGTTTGGATGATTGTGAAGTCTGTCAAACAAGGCCTTGCAAGAACGGCGGCACGTGCACAGAGGTCGCTGGAGACTGGGGATTTACTTGTACTTGCAGGCCTGGTTACTCGGGAAGGACCTGTGATGACGCTGGTAACAAGTGTTCACCTGGCGTTTGCAATGAGGGGCGTTGTGAAAATATCGGCAATGATGGTTTTAGATGCGTCTGTCCTGCCGGTTACTCTGGGGAGAGGTGTGAGGAAGGTTTGTTGTTGACCAAAGGCCCCTCAGTTCTTTTCTTTTTGATGTCAAAACATGAGCTTTGGTATAATTTCAATTTTTTTCCTGTTTGAATAGGATGCATTAAATGCTTTTTAACTGGTTTGCATCAGCTGGTATGGGCGAAAGACCGTAATTTATTGCTTGATTCACTGGACGAAAAAATGGATTTTCACCCCCCTGTTTTTGGTATGCAAATGTAGCATTTACCATCTTTGCCCCATATTTACTCCTCAGTTTTTACAAATTTGCTATATATTTGCAAGGATCATGTTGGTGCAAATTCATTTTTTTGCCCAGTGATTTATATGTTAAAATGCAGGATCGAGGGGGGAGGGAGTCGGGGATGATAGCTTGTCACCGCCTCATTTTCAGGTCATTTTTGATAGTGCCCCCCCTCCCTATTTAAAGGGTTTGAATAAGCAGCGCTCCCAGTTACCTGAAGGTCCGGTTATAGTCGCTTCTACTGGAATGTTGCTTTTAAACGCCTCTGTCACTTGAGCAGCCCCAGGGTACTTAGTTAAAGTAACGTCTCTTGAACTTCTGGTGGTTTTTTTTTGTTTTTTTTTTATGTCATTTGGTGTTCTAAAAAGGAAACTGATTACGGTATTCATCTCCGTAGGAAGGCCAATAGACACTCCCATGTTCAAGGGCGACTCATACATGTCATTACCAGGAATCGAAGGCGCAGCTCTGCAACTAAGGTTCTCCATCAGATTTCTCGCACTTAAATCAGGCAATATGCTTTTACTGTACAATGGTCAGACGATATTCCCTGGTCGCGGTGACTTCATTTCCCTTGCCATTAACGGAGGGCGAGTTGAGTTCAGGTTCAATATGGGAAGTGGTACTGGTATTTTACGCAGCGCCAGAAACATTTCCGTAGGATTCTGGTACACTGTAATGATAGAAAGACAACTGAGAGACAGCTTGTTGGTTCTGGATGAGTATCCCCCAGTGAAAGGCTCCTCCCCGTGTTGTTCACGTGGATTAAATCTTTTGTTAGACTTGTTCATAGGCGGAGTGAAAAACTTCACGACATTCCACACTAGTAAAGTTGGCGTTAGCTCCGGTCTCTTTGGTTGTATATCCGAACTATCAGTAGATGGTAGGGAAATAAACCTGCTCAAGTCCAATCTTGACATGCGAGGTATCAAACAATGCACAGAATGCCTTTTGCCTTGTGAATTAAAACCATGTTTAAATAATGCCACTTGCATCCCGGTTGGAAACACGGGCTTTTTCTGTTCCTGTGCTCCTGGATATACTGGACAAAAGTGTGAGTTTACACTGGCCGATCCTTTGAAGAGTAACACATGTGTAAATGATGGAGTTGAATTATCGTCATCTGACAGGTTACTTATTTATTTATTTTTTATTTTTCCAAACATAAGAAAAATGCACTCCACTACAGTCAACCCGCAGCTTGTTTTAATGAGGTGTAGCTATTAATTTCCTCCGGTGTCGCTGCTATTGATAAGTTCGGTTAGTCTGTCCAATATTTTCTGGGTTAGGGCAGGTACTATAGTCAATCTAAATATAAATAGTGATACATCTGTAAAGAAGTTTCTTCTCGGACCTCAAAAGACGATCTCTCGCGATTAAGGACAGTAATTCGTTGGAGGGTGTCCGAAATAAAGGTAGTTGACTATATTTACTATAATAGACAGAAAGTCTTTGAATACTTAGAATACAAACAATACTTAATTTTAAGACGTGATAGGAGCAGTTGGCAAACCTAGAGAGCTTCAGAAATTCTGAGCCTAAAAGTTGATTTACTGTGTTACAGGTTATGCAACTGCCGGCTTGGATATGGAGGCAGAAGGTGTAATAGAAGTAAGTACTTTCGGAAGTTTTGCCTTTTGAAATAGCTTCCTAATGCGTCGGATATATTTTCAAATCTGTCAGTAACTGATGTTGTCGCAGTATAAACTTTTCAATGTAAGGGATCTTAAGGCACATAGTCTTTGTGTGCGGATACAGGTGACCTCCCCAAGCTGGAGCCATCAGCATGGGTAGAGTGTTTATTGCTGTACCCCGGAGGCCACACTTGGGAAGTCTTAGTGGCCTTTTAAAACCGGAAGGGGAACTACCGGTGGTGCAAATGGTCAGAGTTAACGCCTTCCACTGATATAGGCTTGGTGGGATTCTATCGCCACACAGTGGATTGACTTTGTTGTTGGTTCTCTTCACAAGTCTACTTCGAGCTGAAAAGTTGTCTCTAATTAATTGGGGACGTTTAAGAGGCCACACGTTTAGAACAGTGAATTCTATCGGGTGTCACGCTGTCTAAACTACATAAGTGTAAGTTTTCATAGTTGCAGTAGAATTCTTTCACGACAACCCCTACAGAAAAAAACACGCACACCGGCAATAGATTTTAAGTACTAAAGAAACCTTAGTTTACAAACTTCTGCTATTGGTTTATTTTAACCTTTTCGGTACAAAGTTCTTTAAAGTAGCTTGAATGAGGCAACGAACAGTTGAGTCGATTCCAGTGACTCTTGCTGATTGGCTGTTTCGTTGTAGCTGTCCAGTTTGGAAAAAATGCCTTGTTCAGTGGTGACGGTTTCTTGGAATTCCCATCATCGACCATGCGAGGACCGAGGTGAAGTTTTTTCTTTGGTTTTTAGTGAACTTTCTGAGATAACATTTCTCAGCATCAGGAGAGTTTTACGACTGTTATAATAGAAAATGAGCGCCCAATTTATTTCCATCCTGGTATTTTATAGCCGAAATACCTTATAATCCACGGTGCAATGTTTACGGCTTTGAGCATGCATGCGTCCATTTTTTTTTACAGATCGACAACACCTGACTATATGTCACTAGAGATAAAAACAGAAGCTCAAAATGGTGTAATCCTATGGCAAGGAGAGGTAAAATAGAGTGTTGTAATGAGTTCGGCTAACAGAGATTGTTTATAACTTATGCCTGATAATCCAATGACCAGAAAAGACATCCATCTACTTTGCCACATTCAGTTCTGAGCTTTTTCTTGGTTATTAAAAGATTGTAAGAACAAAACCTTTTTCCAAAACACTTCCGTATCTCTTTGCCAACACGTTCGTGTATATTTCACACACACAGGCCCCTTGCATTACGAACAGTTCCGTTGATCTGTAAGGCATCAAGCAACATAAATAGATACCTCATGTTCTCACCTGGATCAATTAGGTGTCCCTATGAAAAATTTTTCTTCTTGCTCCTTCCAGAGAAGAGACCACTTTGCAATCGGATTAAGAGACGGATTTCTGGAGTTCAGGTAAATAATTTAAGGACTCTTGACGGCCCAACAACTGGTCTCTTTCTAAACTTTGGTATTCTTTGCTTTCAGAGAAAAAACACCCATACATGTACGTGACCACCAAAAATGCCAAAAGTTAGGGGTCGCTAATAGGAGCTGGTCGCATATGAGACTCTGACGCATCTGAATGTCGCTAAAATTGCACTAAAAAAACATAGACAATATACACGTATTAAAAGAATATATTTCGCTACATCAATGTACTGATGGATCACATAATGCACTTAACATCCGGGGGTGATAAAATAATAGGAAGTTTAAGCAAAAGCGTTTTTGAGTGACGCACGTCAACCGAGGCTTAAAAATTGTATTGCTTTGCGTCTTTGCGTCTTTTTTCTCATATTGATGATTTTGCGGAGAATTAGAGCAAAAACACTGCTTAAGAGTAGTTAACTATGAAACTGACTGAAGCACATCCTCGGTTAAATTTATTACACATTAATCCTTGATCACTGATCTACATAAAAAGAAAATTGGGGAACGGGCCCCCGGGCCCCTCCCCGGATCCGCTACTGCAAATAACCAGGAACTAAATATATCGGCCCCTACCCTGAGAATACTTTAAAATCATGTTAACAAATCAGTTACGTCTTTCGTAGATATGAACTCGGCTCTGGGCCCGCTGTACTACAATCTCTGTCTCCAGTCAACGACAGCCAATGGCACTCCATCAAGGTTTACAGGTAACAAACTTTTTAAACTACAATCTTGAAATAATAGTTCCTAGATCTCCGTATTCTAGATGCGTTACATTTGAGGAACAAGGAAGGGCCCGAGAATAAACCCCCCGACTGTCAACACTGAAAAAAAATTTAATCAATTATCGATTTCGTCTTCTATATAATATGAAGCAGCACTGACTGCGTGATGTCATCCCTCCGATATTTTAATTATTAGACTATGACGTTTGTCGTTTTAATTTTGTAGGAGTTTCAGTGAGGGCTCCCTTAAAGTTGATAATCATGATCACGTAAATGGCACCTCGGCTGAGGGAAGCAAAGGGCTGAATATTAACCGAGGTCATAACATATTTATGGGTGAGTGCATTGTACATCCTTATGTTATCAGTCATCCCCGCGATCAGAATGGGCAGTCCGAAATATTTGGATTTCATATATTTGAACAGCGGGAAGAAGAAACAAATGTACACAAGATCATCAATACACAACTCAGTTGCAAAAAGAAAGCCTGAATGCCCGTATTCGACTCCTGCCCTCTGCCCTCTGCCCTCCCCGGTGCAGTGCTCTTACCTATTAAGCTAGCAAGCAGACGGGGTGTAGATGGTCCGTTAGTATTATCTACAAGTCTACCTCCTTTATCAGTGTTCAGGATGTTTAATAATGTAGATTTTTTTTTTTCATTTGAACAGGAGATACTTCGAACTATAGCCTATATTATCTTAATATTTTTTTCCTCTTATTTCCAATAGGAGGGGGTGAAAATATCGCAAAAATGACACATGGAAAGTTTAATACTGGTTTTAGGGGTTGTATAAAGAATACATTTTTCAAGGACAGAGGCATGGACCTCCAGGGTGACGCTATTCGCGGCTGGAATGTCCTACCGTGCGACAGCGATGAGGCAGAGCCACGAAAAGGCATTCTGGAGAAACTGGTTGCCGTGCGAAAGGAGCATTAAGCTCCAGAGGCCACACAGCTCTTCACCAAACAATCGTTTATCGTACTTTCACATTGGAATACGTAATAAATAGCGCGTTTTTGTTGCGTGGTTACACTTTAAATTAAAGTTAAGCAACTGTTGACGGTAAGGAAGAGAAGAGGAATGTGGAAGTGTACGAACAAAAGTATTAAAAAAGAGTTAGGTCTTCGCAAAAAAGTAGAGAATAAGCTGGACAGTTATTGTCCTTTTTTACCAAACGAAATCATCCAGATAACCAGTCTGGCTTTGGATCTGATCTGTTGAAATCAGCCACTGTTGTTTTTCTCTAGGCTTCGACTGTTTAAAAAGCGTTTCTTGATATCAAATACTGTTGTCCTAAAATACATCTTGTCGTACTGGACCTGCGCTTAAACCTTTCATTTTTAGAGTTAATCGAGTCTATGGACAAAAACAGAAACTGTTTCTGCTTCAGCACACCCTCATGTACATGTAGCATTTATTAACAACTTTCACTGATTTCATGTATAGAGACGTTTGGTGAGTTAATGATTTAAAGGTAGATAACGTCTGTCTCCAAACACCGAGGCCAAAAACATATTACCTGCCATTTTAGAGCTCTGTTTTAGACTGTACAAAGATAAAATAGGGTTAACGTTGGCTTAGGGGAGGGGTAGGAGGGCAGTTTCCCAGAAACATATAAAGATCCACATAGGGATTTTCGCTTTTGATATTTATATTGGCTCTTTGTTGTCAAAAATTTATTTTACCTCAATTGTTTATTATATTTACACCTTTTGTACATATACGTTTTTTCGTCTTTTTTTCTTGGCATATATGTTTAAGTTTGACTTAAGCAATAGACCACACTTTCTATGGGTTTACCGGCGTGATAACCCACGCGGGATGTTGGGAGAACACGAGAAAAGCTTGTAAATCACGAGCCGAAGGCGAGTGATTTACAAGCTTTTTGAGTGTTCTCCCAACATCCCGCGTGGGTTATCACGCCGGTAAACCCATAGAAAGTGTTGTCTATTGCTTTTATAAAATAACTTTTAGTAGAATGGAGTCTTTTAGGTAAAAAATATGGTTTTAGTACCGTGATCAAGTTATGTCTTCTCTCTAAAGTCATCATAAGCCAATCATGACTCACGATTTAATAGCGCTGAACTTTCTCAAAACTCAGTTCAGTCAAACAACAAACAGCAGCACTTCAAAACACGAGTTTTTGCACTCATTACATGATAACTTATGAAAGCTGTTTTACAGGAAAAGTCAACACATATTCATGTGAACGTACAATGAAACAATACGTTCATGGTTTGTTTACTACAGAAGTAGAAAATTGAACATCAGACCGTACGCAGCCTTGTTTTGTTGAGTCGATCCGTAAGAATTTCGTGCTTACAGTCGGAACTGACAGCTATTGTAATGGAGGACTTCATTCACTTTTTACAAGCCCCAGTTAAGATCTGTTTTCTGGGCTTTATCATGGTCAAGAAACGCTGCGGTAACGACGTGGCTGCACTAGTTTGCGAAGTTGTCACATGTATATGCAGGTACAGTCACCGATGGAAATATGTCAGCGGTGGAGAGAGGTTTCTTTGCCGTAGCCACATATTGGCGTTAATATTTGTCGATTTGTGAAGTCAGGTGGTTTGAGGTAAGTTATGGCATCGATATCACCGAATAATTTGTACAAATGTTGGAAAAAACCAGCCCGAAACTCTGACATCTTTCAGCATCGTTGGCAGCTTGTTTACAACCTACAGCGGCCGTTTTTGTACCATATCTTGATCAGAGATCTCTTTTTGGAACAGTTTCTTTCATTAAGGAATTTAATTTTGACATAAAGTAAATCAAGAATGCTAAAACTATCCGTTTTGTTGCTGGTTGGCATATGGTTAAGTTTTCCTAGAGACTTTCTACACCAGAAATTCACACAGTTGTTGTCTTTCTCTGCGATTTGGCATCGTCCGGTGAAATGTAAACTGCTTTCCAGCTTTGTACTTTATAACTTCTTAAGCTATGGCAGTAGCGAATTGTGACGCTCAGTAATAAAAT